CAGGCGCGCACTACCATGCCCGGCTAATTTTTAATTTTATTGTAGAGATGAGGTCTCGCCCCTGCAGGCTCAGGCAATTCACTCATCTCGTCCTCCCAAAGTACTAGGATTACAGGCATGAACCACCGCACCCAGCATGTTTAAGGGTTTTTATTGACTAAGTCATTGACTATTGGTGATTAAACTAAGTCTCTAGCCTCTCTCCCTTCCCTGGAGGTTGGAGGATGGAACTAAAAGCTCCAACCCTCCATTTTATCCAGGTTTGGTCTTTCTGGAGATCAGCCTACATCCTAAAGTGATCTAGTGGCCCTTTGCAGGGAGTCATCTCATTTGCATAAGAAAGTAAATTCCAAGTGTTTTGGGAGCTTTGTGCCAGGAATAGGGAACTAAGGCTGGAAAATTATTAGTATTATTTTTGAGCCAGAATATCACTTTGTCACCCAGGCTGCTGGAGTGCAGTGGCATGCTCACGGCCACCACAGTCTTGACCTGCTAGGTCCAGGTAATCCTCCCACCTCAGCCTTCCATGTAGCTGAAACTACAGGCATGTGCCATCACACCTGGCTAATTTTTTGATTTATTGTAGAAATGAAGTCTTGCCATGTCGCCCAGGCTGGTCTCAAACCCCTGAGCTTAGGCAATCCTCTCATCTCTGCTTTCCAAAGTGCTGGATTACAGGTGTGAGCCACCAGGCCCAGCCTGGAAAATTATTTTTTTACTATACCACACCACAGTGAGGACTTAACTAGCTCTGTCCCCTCTGTCTGCCACGGGTCACCAGAGCCCTTTTTTTCATCCAAGCTGAATTTCCACTGCCTTTAGCTCCAGCCAGGCAGGTGACCACTCCAGACATACCCTCATTTCCCTGGGCACCTGCTACCACTCCGGGGCGAGAACTTATCTATCAGTTGGAGGACACTGGCTCTGACCAACTTAATCAAAAACACAGTTTATGAAAAGGAACTGTGTAACCCTCTCCAAGAGGGCTGGAGAGCAAGGCTCCAAGTCCAAGCAGCAGCATCTCCAGCCCAAATCACAGTTCTCCTTTGGCCTAGTGAGCATGTCACTGCTGCTGCCACCCTGGGCAAGCTGGGGATGTTGTAACTCATACAACCCAGATACATGCTGCTGCTACAGCCTCTCATGAAAGCTGATCATCCAAATCCCCATCAGACTCCAGGGAGGGTACATCTTATTGGCTGGGCCTAGGCCAAAAGTCCTTGTCCTAGAGCAAAGAAAGCTGGAAAAGAGAGTATCTGGCTTGATTACCTTCTGATATGGAGGAAAGGGGCCCAGGTGCTGGGTGAAGAGATGTGGCAAGAGCCCTCAAGCAGCGCTCTATGTTAGCACTCACCACTCTCACCCTGCGATCAGTCCTGGGCTGATGGGTCCATCTGTACCTGATCACCCACACCCTGTTGGGCATGGGACTTTCTGAGTATTACTGAGCATTACTTTGGCCCAACAGACCCAAGCAGAGTTCCCACCTACATTGTAACCAAGGCCCCAATAGAAAACAGTCATTCTTGGCCATGCATGGTGGCTCACGCCTATAATCCCAGCACTTTGGGAGGCTGAGGTGAGAGGATTGCCTAAGCTTATGAGTTCAAGACCAGTCTGGCAAATTGGCAAGACTTCATCTCTATAATAAATCAAAAAATTAAGCCGGGCTCAGTGGCTCAGCCTGTAATCCCAGCGCTTTGGGAGGCTGAGATGAGTGAATTGCCTGAGCCCGTGGGTTCGAGACCCACCTGGGCAACTTGGTGAGACCTCATCTCTACAATAAATCAAAAAATTAGCTGGGTGTGGGTAGCGCGCGCCTGTAATTCCAGCTACTTGGAAGGCTGAGGCGGAAGGATTGCCGGAGCCTAGCAGATGGAGGCTGCGGTGGCCGGGAGCAGCCACTGCACTCCAGTCTGGGCGACAGAGTGAGACTCCAATTAAAAAAAAAAAAAAATTAGCCAGGTGTGGTGGTGCATGCCTATAGTTCCAGCTACTTGGAAGGCTGAGGCAGAAGGATTGCCTGAGCTCAGCAGGTCAAGGCTGCAGTGGCCATGAGCGTGCCACTACACTCCAGCCTGGGCAAGAGTGAGACTCCAACTCAAAAAAAAGAGTCATTCATATTTGAAGAGAGTTTAACAAAAGTGCTGTTTACAGAGCTGTAAGTAGATTGGGGAGGCCCTAGGATTAGTGCAGCACCTGGACCTAGCATCTGTGGGAGCCCTTTCCATTCCCAGGCCTGCAGGAGCAGGGTGGGAAGGGTTACTAGAACCTGGCCTGGTGGCAACTGGACCCCCCGCCACCATGTATGTGTGCTGAGCATGTTAAGACTTAAGTCCTTCTTGGCCAGGTGATGAAGGGGGCTTCTTTGAGACCCGGGCCTTCCTCTCCCCATTCTAATATCCTAGGCTGGGAAACTGTTGGGGACCTCCCAGGTTGTCCTTTTGGGTTTCTCTCCTTGTCCACAGCAATGCCCCTACACCCAGGTGAGAAAGATGTGGTGGCACACAGGGAGCATACATTGGCTCAGGTGCCCTGTTAGTGTGACATTTCACATTTTTCTGCCTTGAGTACAACGTTCTGATTCTTCCAGGTGCAAGGTGGGGCAGGTGAGACATCCTGGTTCTGTCCGTACCCCTGCCCCACAGTGAGGGGACAGTGGCAGCCTGTTAGCCTTGTGCCAGGAATCGGCCCAGTATGTGTCCTGGTAGCTGCCAGTTCCTACCCTCGGTCTAGGTCCACTGAGTGGAGGTAGGGGGGTTGGGAGAGCGTAAACCTGCCTGGGCTTGGGGGCCAGGATCACCACGGGGATGGGTGTCAGCCTGAAGAGGAGGGGATGGCGTGTACTCAGAGCTGGGTTCCTGTGAATTCTTGGGACTGGGCTTCCTGAAGGGAAACGGTATTTGTAGGGTGCCTACTGAGTTCCAAGACCTGCGCTGGGCACGATCTGGCACCATCTCTCCTGGTCCTCAGGTAGCCCTCGGGCAAGCGAGGGCCCGCGGGGCAAGAGAGGAACCCGCGGGGAGGAAAGGGCTTTGGCTGGCCTCCCAGCTACACAGTAGGTGCTCAAGTGTTAGAAGGCAGGTTCCTGCTGGGACCCCCTCCGGGCCCCAAGGCTTGGGGACTGCCCCCGCCCCCAAAGTATCCAGGAGTCACCTCGGTGCGTCTCCTGGTGCCTGCCCGTGTCCCGGAAACGAGTCCCAAGTTTTCGCGCAGACACCGGGCGCGGAGCTGGCCCCGAGCCTAGGAGGGGTGTCCGCTTCCCTACCTCCCCTCCTCCTCTACTTCCCCTCTCCCCCTCCTTCTGCCCTCCTCCTCCTCCCGGGCGGGGGTTCCGGGAACCGCCAGGGCAGGGCGGGGCACGGGAGTGGGGCGGCCGCGCGGGTCGCTGAGGCTGCGGCAGCACCTCGACTCGGTGCTTCCGTCCGTCGGTCCGTCGGCCTGTCCGCCTGCTCGCCTAGCCATGGCTGCGCCGGTCCCCGCGCCGCGGATCCTGTTGCTGCTGCTGCTGCTACCGCCGCCTCCGGGTGGTGAGCCTGGGAGTGGGGGGCGGTTCGTCCTGCCCGGGACCAGACTGATACTTCTCGCAAGCCAGGCGACACCAGACCCACAGCGCCCCCCACCGACCCCTAAAAGCCCGAGGCCGTCTGCGAACCCGCAGGACGACGGACCTTTCCTCCACCCCAGCACTCATGCCTGCCTGAACGGACACAGCCCAGACCCCAGGCAGCTGCCACCTTTGTGTGTCCTGGGACGATGGGGAGGGCTTGCCCCCCCGCCGATGTCCCAGGCGATTGGGTCCCCAGAGGCTGGGGTACAATTCCCTGCCTGGCTTTAGCCCGGGGCTGTGGCAGCAGAAAGGCCTGGCCCCTCAATCGGAGGCCTTCCCTCTCAGCCTCTGTTTACTGGCTGGGAGCCCACACCAAAGCCTCCAATGGTCCCAGTGTTCCTGGAGAGCTGGGCGCTGAGGCTGAACTCTGGGGTGGAGGAGACACTCTGCGTGTTGGTTGTAGACTGATGATTCACTGACTCTGGAGGGCAGGCTGGGGCCTTTTAGGGGTGGAATTGGATTGGCCTCCTGCCTAGCCATGGGAAGCCAAAGACCCCTTTGGGGTAGGGAAGAAAGACTTTATTTCCTGGGAGCTAGGATGAATCTGGAGGGCCAGGGGTGGGAAAATGAGAACAGGGAGTCCTGGAGTGAGCCTGTAGGAGGGTATGGGGGTTCAGTCAGGTGTGGGGGTCAGAGAGCATTTGTGCCATGGACTTTTGGCCTAAATAGACTCACCGGTGTGTGTCTTCTGCCCCAGTTCAGAGGCTTGGGCTGGGCAGGAGCTGTTCTGTAAAGACTCTCCTTTCAAGTGGGCTCATCTGAGCCACGCAGCTGCATAAGGCCGTGCTGATGATGCATGGCCGGCCAAGCTGGGGCTTGTTGATGGTCTCATCCTCTGCGGCTTTGCCCAGAGCAGGGTTCTGCCTGGAGCTGCCGAGAACATAGTGCTGCCTCCTGCAAAGCTACCTCTTCTCAAGGAGGTCATTCTGTGTCCCTCTTTGGGCCAAGTTCCACTGACAGCCCCAGGGGGGGGCGATACACTGGCCAGACTGGGGCTCTAGAGTCCATGTGCTGTGCTGGGACTGTTTTCAGGCCCACATAGGTACACCTCAGGGATAATCATCAGACTTGCCTTCATCCTAATGTACTCATGGAGGCCTTGCGGGATTAGCTGTTCCATTTGGGTTTTTTGTTTTTTTTTTTTGAGTTGGAGTCTCACTCTTGTTGCCCAGGCTGGAGTGCAGTGGCACGCTTATGGCCACTGCAGCCTTGACCCACTGGGCTTAGGTGATCCTCCCACCTCAGCCTTGCAAGTAGCTGGAACTACAGATGCAGGCCACCGCGCCCAGCTAGTTTTTGTGATTTATTGTAGAGAGGAGGTCTCACCAAGTTTTCCAGGCTGGTCTCAAACCCCAAAACTCAGGCAATCCTCTTGCCTGGGCCTCACAAAGTTCTGAAAATACAGATTGAGCCACTGCACCCGGCCCAGGTGTCCGTTTGGAGTCTGCCCTGGCAGAATCCAGTAATGTCCCCTCCTGCTTATGGGTGCTAGGTCTCTGTTAATGTAGCCTAAGGAAACATGGGAACATTTGACTGTAGTAGCTCCCTGGAGGTTTGTAAACCTGGTCACCCAAAGCCCTGGGTCATTTTCCACATTTGTCATTAGCCAGGTCCCCTCAGCAAGACCTTGTATATTGAGGCTTATAAGGATGTCATTAGATCCCAACTCTGTGGCTGAGAGCCTTGTGATGGCTCAGACTGTGCCACTGCCTTGGAGCCATGGCCACAGAAGACACAAACATTTCCTGCTTGCAGCAGCAGGCCCAGCCCAGGGCTAAGTGCTTTATGGACATTTGTGTGGTGGGTATGACTGAATTGATCAGGAGTCACCCTGCCATCAGGTCTGAGAGGGCTGGGCCCCTGAAGTTGTGATGTCCAGCAGGGGCTGAGGCTGCTGTGACTGAGTGATGGGGAGAGGGAATGAGGATGAAGAACTGGACAGACTGGACAGTTGGCTGGGCGCAGTGGCTCAAACCTGTAATCCCAGTACTTTGGGAGGCCAAGGCAAGAGGATTGCCTGAGCTCAGAGGTTCAAGACCAGCCTGGGCAACTTGGCAAGACCTTGTCTTTACAAAGAATCAACTGGGCATGGTAGCATGTGCCTGGAGTTCCAGCTACTTGGAAGGCTGAGGCAGAAAGATTGCCTGAGCCCAGCAGGTCAAGGCTGCAGTGGTGGTGAGCAGTGTGCCATGCATTTCAGCCTGGGTGACAGAGTGAGACTCCCACTCAAAAAAAGAAAATAGAAAAGGGAACAGGACAGTCCAGTGCAGATAGTTGGTCTCTAGCAGATAGTTGGGGTGTTCGGTTCAGCTGTGCGACTTCTGGAGGAGGTGGCCTGGAGTAAGGCCTTGAAGGATATAGAGTTGAAAGGTGGTGGATGGGAAACAGGCAAGAATGTGGGCAGGCTAGAAAGCTGGGGTAATTGCAGTCTAGACGCTGCTTCTAAGACCCTGGCCTTGATCCTGAAGAAATGAGAACTCGGGATGGTCTGAGAGCTGGGAGTGGCCCAGTCAGACTTACACTTAGAAAGTTGACTTTCCTGTCAGAAGACCTGTGGACTGGCAAGGGGGAGAGGGAGCCCAGTTGGGGCAGCTCTGCCCAGAGGATAGGACAAGGCTGGGAGGAGCTGTGACCAGAGGGTGAGAGGTGGCCAGGACTGGGATGGCTAGGAGACAGCCCAGTGTGTTTGTGTGTGGTGGCTGTGCTGGGACAAGTGCTGTGTGGGCTGGGGCATGACTGAGGCTGAGGGCCGTAGGTGAACAGGTACGTGTCTCTGTTCCAGCCCATGGTGAGATGTGTGTGACTTCCCCTGGATTCAACCCCGAGTTCTGTCCGGTTTTCTGCTGTGGTACCTGTAACAACCAATACTGCTGCTCTGACATACAGAAGAAAATGGAATGGAGTGGGGAAAACTGTGCTGTGCCTGAGGCCAGGTGAGTCACAGGGTAGGTGGCCTGAATCTGTGCCTAGCAGAAAAGTGCATGGAAGATAAATAGCCCTGCCCTTCTGGCTCTTCAGCCCTCTTGTGATGGTGGCTGGAACATTGGACCAGAGGGGATTTGGGGAGCCCCTCTTCTAGGCTATATACCCCACATCTGCTCAGTTAGTCCCTTGTCTGTTTCCCTTTTACCCTCGAGGATTTCGGCTCACCCAGCCCTGGGCTGAGCAGATTTCTCAGGGGTCTGTGTTCTCAGCTGGCCCTGTGGCTTACCCCTGGGTGTGTACCTGTACCAACATGTGGAGCACCTGGACATGAGCGTACCCCACGGTATGTGCATGCACCTGGGGGGATATGCTTTGTGCAGGCACTCTCTTGTGAGCCCTGGAGGGTACAATGCATGGGCAGGTGCCCCAGTGGGGGCTGTGCACCTTTACCCTGCGTTTTGGGTGTTCAGTGGACTGGGACCAAGGTTCCAGGCTCCTGCGTGTGTCTGTGTTTGACACATTCTGTGTTTCCTTTGTGTTTGGCACCAGATTTAGAGGGTTGAGGTGGTCATCACTGATCTGGGCGAGACCGACCACCTACTATCTTATTTATTTTATTTATGTTTTAAATTTTAATTTTAGCCGGGCTTGATGGCTCAGCCTGTAATCCCGCGCTTTGGGAGGCTGTGGTGAGTGGATTGCCTGAGCCTGCGGGTTTGAGACCTGCCTGGGCAACTTGGCGAGACCTCATCTCTACAATAAATAAAAAAATCAGCCGGGCATGGTAGCGGTGCCTGTAATTCCGGCTACTCGGAAGCCTGAGGCGAAAGGATCGCCAGAGCCCAGCAGGTTGAGGCTGTAGTGGCCAGGAGCGTGCCACTGCACTCCATTCTGGGCAACAGAGTGAGACTCCAGCTCAAAAAAAAAAAAATTTTAATTTTATGTATTTTTCTGTAGAGATGAGCTCTTGCCATATTAACCAGGCTAGTGTTGAACTTCTGGAGTCAAGTGATCCTCCCACCTAGCGTCCTGAGTAGCAGACATGTGCCACCATGCCCAGCTTATATATTTACTTTTATCTCTCATTACTGTTCCATTTCCTTCCCACCCCATAGGCAACCAGTCTGCTGTGTTTAAGGTGGATCCTTTTGATTGATTATGTTCTTACAAAGTCTTGTTTTGTGGTCACCGTTTTGGATTACAGTGAACCCACCTTTTGCATTCAGTGTAGTGTTTGTAATACCCGTCCACGTGACTGTGACACTTCTGGCCTGTGCTCACCATTGCATGTCCTTTTCCGTGGTGTGAATCCAAAATTGTTGCCATGATAGATAGCTTCAGTGGCATTCTCATATGCGTTCTCCTGCTTCTCTTTTTTTTTTTTTGAGTTGGAGTCTCACTCTGTCACCCAGGCTAGAGTGCAGTGGCTGCTCCCGGCCACTGCAGCCTCGACCTGCTGAGCTCCGGCGATCCTTCCGCCTCAGCCTTCCAAGTAGCTAGAACTACAGGCATGTGCTACCATGCCCAGCTAATTTTTGATTTATTGTAGAGATGAGGTCTTGCCAAGTTGCCCAGGCGGGTCTCGAACCTGCGGACTTAGGCAATCCACTCACCTCAGCCTCCCAAAGGAGCGGGATTACAGGCTGAGCCACTGAGCCCGGCTTCTCCTGCTTCTCTTTATGGAGCTGCATAAGACTTTCTTGGAAATATACGTGGGAGTGGAGTTCCTGGGTGATAGATATGCACAGTTACCAACTAAGGACTTCCAAGTGTTCTTGGGAGTACTGCTCTGGACTGCACACTCGCCAGCCAAGCCTCAGAGTTTCCGACAGGTTGTCTTCTACCCTTTCACTTTCATACTTTTGGCAACCTTATCTTTTACAAATGTCTTTTAAAAAATTCATTGCAGTAATTTTTTTTTTTTTGGGTTGGAGTGTCACTCTGTCACCCAGGCTGGAGTGCACACTCATGGCCACTGCAGCCTTGACCTACTGAGCTCAGGTGATTCTTTGGCCACAGCCTTCCAAGTTGCTAGAACCACAGGTGCGTACCACCATGTGGAGTGCAGTGGCACACTCACAGCCACTGTAGCCTTGACCTATTGGGCTCAGGTGATCCTTCTGCCTCAGTCTTCCAAGTAGCTGGAACTTCAGATGCAGGCCACCACATTGGGCTAATTTTTTTATTTATTGTAGAGACAAGGTCCTGCCATGTTGCTCAGGCTGGTCTCAAACCCTGGGCTCAGGCAATCCTCTCACCTCTGCCTCCCAAAGTATTGAGATTACAGGTGTGAGCCACTATACCGCACTTCATTGTGGTAATTTTTCTTAAAGTAGGAGTATTTGTTCCATTTAAAATTAATGTAGTTACTGATATTCTGGAATTTTTTTTTTTGAGTTGGAGTCTTACTCTGTTGCCCAGACTGGAGTGCAGTGGCAGGCTCCCAGCCACTGCAGCCTCAACCTGCTGGGCTCCAGTGATCCTTCTGCCTCAGCCTTCCAAGTAGCCAGAACTACAGCGCACGCTACCACGCCAGCTAATTTTTGATTTATTGTAGAGATGAGGTCTCGCCAAGTTGCCCAGGTGGGTCTCGAACCCGCAGTCTCAAGCAATCCACTCACCTCAGCTTCCCAAAGCGTGGGATTACAGGCTGAATCACTGAGCCCAGCAGGATTTTTTTTTTTTTTTTTTTAAGGTAGAGTCTCACTCCGTCACCCAGGCTGGAGTACAGTGGCACGCCTATGGTCACCCCAGCATCAACCTGCTGGGCTCCAGTGATCCTTTCACCTCAGCATTCCAAGTAGCCAGAACTACAGGCACGTGCGTGCTACCATGCCTGACTAATTTTTTTATTTATTGTGGAGACAAGGTCTTGCCAAGTTGCAGGGCTGGTCTCGAACCCACAGACTCGAACCCTCGGCCTCCCAAAGTGCTGGAATTATAGGCTGAGTCACCAAGCCTGGTCTATTCTGGGATTATAATTGCCATTTTATCTTGTGCTTTCTATTTGTTTCTCTTGTTCTGCATTTCTGTCTTTTTTACTTCCTGTGTTGTTTTGGTTTGTTTGTACTCCATATTTTTCTCATGCTGTTTACTTCTTTTCTGTTCTGTGTGTCTCTGTTCTTTTTTCTTGCCTTATTGCACTGGCTAGACCCTCTAGTACAATGTTGGGTAGAAGTGATGAAAGCAGACACCTCTGTCTTATTTCTAGTATGGGGGGGAAGCATTCAGTCTTTGACTAGTAGGATGATATTAGCTGTTGCTCTTTCATTGATGCTCTTTATCAAGTTGAGGAAGTCTTCTGCTATTTCTAGTTTTAATCACAAATGGATGTTAAATTTTATCAAATGCTTTTTGTGCATCTGTAGAGATGATCATATGACTTTTCTGTTTTTATTCTGTTAATATGGTAAATTACTCCTTCTAAAATAATATTTTATCTGAGCATAGAATTTAGGTTGATGGTTATTTTTTCTTAGCATGTTGAAGGTACCATTCCACTGTCTCCTAGCTTCTATTATTTCTGTTGAGACATCTGCTCAACAGTCAGTTTGTTCCTCATCTTTTTTTTTTTGGAGTTGGAGTCTCACTGTTGCCCAGGCTATAGTGCAGTGTCGTGCTCACAGCCACCCACACCTCATCCTGTTGGGCTCAGGTAATCCTTCTGCCTCAGCCTTCCAAGTACCTGGAACCACAGGCGTGTGCCACCACACCCAGCTGATTTTTTGATTTACTATAGAGATGAGGTCTTGCCAAGTTACCCAGGATGTTCTCAAACCCCTGGACTCAGGCAATCCTTCTCACCTCCATCTCCCAGAGTGCTGGGATTACAGACATGAGCCACTGTTCTGACTAGTTTGTTTCTCATTTAAAAGAAATCCTGGGTGACGCCGTGACTCATGACTGTAATCCTAGCACTTTGAAAGGCTGAGGTGGGAGGATTGTTTGAGATTAGAAATTCGAGATCTGACTGGGTATGGTGGTTCACACCTGGTTCCAGCTACTTAGAAGGCTGAGGCGGAAGGATCACCTGAGCCCAGAAGGTCGAGGCTGCTGTGAGCCATGATTGGGCCACTGCACTCTAGCCTGGTGCAATAGCGTAAAACCCTGACTCAAAAAAACCCAAAAATCCTTTTTTTTTTTCCCTTTCTGATTGTTTTTTAAGATTTTTTTTTTCTTGTATTTGGTATTATTCAGTTATACTGTGTTGTATGTAGATATGGATTTATTTTTATTTATGCTGCTATGGATTTGTTAAATTTCTTGAATCTGTGATTTAGTGCCTCTCATCAGGTATGGACAATTCTCTGCCATTGCTTTTTTTGTTTTAATTTGAGTGGAGTCTTGCTCTGTTGCCCAGGCTGGAATAAGTGGCACGATCATACAACTCTGTGGCCTCGAACTCCCGGGCTCAAGAGATCCTCCCACCTCTGCTTCCTGAGTATCTGGGACTATAGACGTGTGCCACCAAGTCTAACTAAAAAAAAAATTATTTTGTAGAGAAGATGGGGTGTCATTATGTTGTCCAGGCTGGTTTGAACCCCTGGCCTTGGCTATCCTCCCATCTTGGCTTCCCCAAATTCTGGGATTACAGGCATGAGCCACCATGCCTAGCTACTGCTTCTTTAAATACTGCTTCTTCCCCCTTCTCCTTTCCTTTTAGAACTCTGATCAGACACATGCTACATTTCTCTGTTCCATGTGCATATTTCCTAGCTTTTCTTTCTTTCTTTTTTTTTTTGAGTTGGAATCTCACTCTGTCACCAGGCTGGAGGGCAGTGGCACACTCACGGCCACTGCAGCCTCGACCTGCTGGGCTCCTGTGATCCTTCCACCTCAGCCTTCCAAATAGCTGGCACTACAGGCGCTCGCTACCACGCCCAGCTAATTTTTGATTTATTGTAGAGACGAGGTCTCGCCAAGTTACCTGAGTGGGTCTCAAACCTGTGGGTTCAGGAAGTCCTCTCGCCTCAGCCTCCCAAAGTGTTAGGATTACAGGCTGAGCCAC